ACCTGTGTGCAAACGCTGCTCATTATTTTTATTTATATATATATATTTCAATCCTCACCTGAGGTCGAGAGAGAGAGAGAGAGAGAGAGAGAGAGAGACAGAGAGAGAGACAGAGCTAATAAATTGCCTTTTACCAGTAGACACACACACCTGCCTCCAGATGTGTCAACCAGGAATGGAAACAGCCACCTGAGTATGTGCCCTAAGTGGGAATCAAACCACCAACCCTTCACTTCACAGGACAACACTCCAACCAACTGAACCACACTGGCCAAAGCCAAATGCTGTTCCTTATCACTCACCTGCATTTAGGGATTCTATTCTAGGCGAGCACTAGACACCTAAATTGTTTTGCAATGAATACAAAGGTAGTAAGCAAACTTGACTTCCACTAAATAAGGCTATTCATCGTCAGGTTAAATTTCTCTTTATTAAGATGAAATAATGTTCTTTTCGTCTTTGGGCTGGTGCTGTTGATAGTTGTTGATTATTACTCCTTTGTGGTTTTTGTTATTCTTAAACCCACTGTCATATAAAACCCTAGTATTTCTAGTTTTTCTCTAAGAAAATGATTTTAGACAACTATTTCTGTTAATTTTATTGCCCATTATGGAATTTCTGTTGACTGCCTACAGATGACACATAGCTGGCTGTTATGAACCATTATTGACTATTTACCACATGCATCATAATTTTCCTACTTCAGTACTGTTGCCCTTTAAGTATTAATACCGAGAGCCTCGATCCCTCTTTGAGATGTACTAATTGCTCCAGGCATTTTTGTTATTTTGCACTTCTGTCAGAACATGAGCTCTTTTGTGTACTATCAACCAAGTGTAAATGTCTACTCTTTTAGAGTGGATTTGATGTCATTTGGAAACAAGCCTGATGAATCAGGTCAACCTGATTACTCAATGGTCAACAGTGAGACGCTGTAATGGAGTTCATTCTTTAGTGTGATTTACGCATCATATTTTATTTTTTTTTACTTCGAAAACAACTTCAATTTCTCTTGCCTCTAAAAGTGTTTTTAAGGTGTCTTGTCCAAGTCATATATATGACAGCTCTGGGCAGGGCGTGATTGGGGTGTGGAGCTATTTCTGCTGCACCACGATTCCGCATCTTCTGGTGCTGGGCTCCCTTCAGTGGCAAACCCCAGGCCTAGTACCTCCAGGTCACACGCTCAGCCTATTTCCCTCCTCAGTGAACTCAGTTCCACAAAAGAAATTCTAACCATGTTCAGAGCCCTGGCAATCTCATAGAATAAGCATAAAACCTTGCATCTCCGAGCATCTGATTGTGGGGGGAGGTGGGGGAGCGCGGAGGGAGGGTTGGTACAGCTCTTGTTCAGATTTGTGAATACTGGAATATGAGCTTAGGGCAAGAGTAGGCAAACTTTTTTATAAAGATGAAATAGTGAATGTTTTAGGCTTTGCAGGCCATGTGGTCTTTGTGTCATGAAGTCAACTGCCATTTTAGGGAGAAAGCAGCCATATAATTCATAAACAAGCGAGAATGGCTGTGCTCCAATTAAACTATTCGTAGATATTGAGATTTGAATTTTCTATAAATTTTATGTGTCAAAAATATTTTTTTCTCTTTCTTTAACAATTAAAAAGAATGGTAAAGCTCTAGCTGGTTTGGCTCAGCAGATAGAGCATCTGCCTGTGGACTAAAGGGTCCTGGGTTCGATTCCAGTCAAGGGCACATGCCTGGGTTGCAGGCTCAATCCCCAGTGGGGGCCGTGCAGGAGGAACCCAATCAATGATTCTCTCTCATTGATGTTTCTATCTCTCTCTCCCCTCTCCCTGCCTCTCTGAAATCAATCTATAATAATAAAAGCATAATATGCTAACATTCCCAACAAAGCCTTCCCAACAAAGCTGGGGCTGTGAGGGCCGAGGCAGCCACCATGGTTGCCAGGCCGAGCCCCTTGCATGAATTTCGTGCATAAGGCCTCTAGTGAAAATATATTTTTTTAAAAATGGCAAAAACTGCTGTCATCTCATGGACTGAACAGAGATTAGCTCTCTGACCCCTAGTTTTGGGTTTTAAACTGGCATGTATGTCATTTGCTTCTCTAAGTGTTTGAATGTGTAGCTGTAAAAATCAGCGGCTGCCAGGCCGAGCCCCTTGCATGAATTTCGTGCATAAGGCCTCTAGTGAAAATATATTTTTTTAAAAATGGCAAAAACTGCTGTCATCTCATGGACTGAACAGAGATTAGCTCTCTGACCCCTAGTTTTGGGTTTTAAACTGGCATGTATGTCATTTGCTTCTCTAAGTGTTTGGATGTGTAGCTGTAAAAATGTTTTATGGTCTCCTGCTGATAAATCTAACAGTTTTGCAGCTGTACTTAGGTTTGAACTAGACATTTAAACTATTCAGACTTTGCCTCTGATAATATATTTAACCAGAGGTTGTATTTGGAAGATCTTGGACTGAATAAATTGTCTGTATAAGAAGATTTAATATTCATTTAATGTGCCAAGTTTGTTCTGATCAAACCGATTTGAAAAACATTACCATATCTCTTGGAGATTCATCATTTCTGTAAGCATATTAAATATTTGGCTTTGGTTTAGTTTTGGCCATAAACATCCCTCACAGCTTACCTTGAGAAATGTTGGTAAATACATTTGAACAAAGATGGAATCATACATGTGGGGGATTTGTTTTTCTATACAAAATAGAGGCCAGATACACAGATACGCAGACAGGGTCTTTGCGTGTTTCCTAGTGCAACATGTTAACTCTGTTTTCTTTTTCTTAACTCAAGAATGAATCATGTAGATGCTTTAAGATTATATTAAATATAAAAGATAGAAAACATCCTAATGACAATATTGATAATCTGTTAGTATAAAATATCAAGTTTGAATGCAAAAGAAACAAAGCATGTGGAGTGGCCAGTTTAAAAGTCAGAGTATTCTTAAAGTAGCATTGTGTGAAACTATAGACTTGTATACATGCTCATGCATACGTGTTGATGATGTCATCATCACCTCTTTTGGAAGCGTGATCTGTTGACATGAAGTACAGTATTTTCTGAGGGTAATTAAAATATGCCACCCTTGCAGAGCCAAACTGGTTAGGTCAAATTTCTTATTAGCAAAGGAATTTTTAAAGGCCATCTCTAACCATATTCTTTCTAGACTGTGGTCTTCACAAATCAGCCTTCACAGATCCTGGTCCTGTTCTCCAACTTGGTTTGCTCCACACCTAGAGTGTGCTTGGCAAGTTACTTCAAGTCTGATAGCATTGCACAGATGTAGGACTGAGGTGTTTTGGTTTTTGTTTTACTTGGAAGGTTTCAAGATACCTACTGGGATATGTTCTTTTGATGACTTTCTTATCTTTTATATTTAATATAATTTTAAAGCACAATAAGTAGAATCGCCTCAAGTAAATTATATCATCAAAAACCCTTTACCCTTTGCTTATAGAAGTGTCCTTATGAGACATTTTTTTCAGTCTTAAGAACAGCAGTGATGTTTATCCAGTCTTCTTAGGACTCATCAAAGGGACCAAGTGAAGGTCGTAAGAGTGGGAAAGAATCAGCAGCTGAGTTCTACACTGCGAGCTGTGGGCCCTAAGGGCTGTGGTTGCTGGAGAAGCAGCGACCGGAAAATGGGCAATGGAAGCACTCGGTGCCCTCAGAGAAAGCTGGCTGAGTGCCTTGTTGACAGTGACAGTGCATTTTTCCATGCAGGATGGAGACTCCCCTCTGTAGGAAAGGCGGTTCCCTGCTTACCCCTACTTCCTAATTGAGCAAAATTCCATTGTTAGAAATGTTGCTATGTGTGCTTTAAAGGTTATATTTGCTTTTAATGTTAAGAATAAAGATATCCTGTTTTCACTTAAACCTCTTGAAATATTGTAAAACAATGAATGTTCTCTAGTACAAACGTTGAGAGTTCAGGCCAGAACTCTTAGCCACTTGAATTTTATTTTCCTTCCTGAACCATTTGCTAGATGCTTGCACTGTTCTCTGGTCTCTGTGGCCTTCCCAGGCCCAGCAGCTTGAACTGGCCCCTGAACTGGCAGTGCCTGGGAGTCCTCGGAGGAATCTAGCTTTTCCAATAGCCTACTTCCTTCTCTTTCATTCTCCCCAACAACAGATAGTTTTATTTTAGTTTAGAAGACAGTCTAATGACATCTACTGTTTTATATTTTCCAAAGGATGTAGGT